AAGTCTTTAATCCGGACGTTCATAATCCGGAATGATCTATAATCCTGACCTCAAAGCTACAAACTTTCTATGTATGTACATAATACGTTTACGCATGTGCGTTCAATGTATAATCGAGAGTATAAGCTAAGCTAAAATTATCCAATTATCTATTTCAGTTAATGTTGCAGATTGCATTATTCCTCAATCTTCGAATTGGATCCGGCTTATTATTTTTTGCACACTGTAGATACTGTAGAGCAATTTTATAAAAGTAAGCTTGAACTTTCAATTACGTCAAATAGAATTTCCGATTCTGGAGCTGCCAAAGGATCTACAAAGCGAAAGCATGTTTCGATGTCCATTAAACAAAAAGTGAAATTGCAGCAAAAAATGGATAAATGCATGAAGAAAGTGACAGAGAGGTTATTTGTTTCTCTAACCATTCCGAAATCTGTTTATCAATTTCACCAATTTCACACTGCTCTGCAGGGGGGGGGGACGTCGCATCGTGCAATGAACTGGAAGTTGATCTGTCAGCACTATCCTCATCTTCAGGGCAGATGTTTTTATTTTATTTGGCTCATAATTTCTTACTAAATGTAGTGTTTCATCTCGATGTACTCTGATATGATTTACCGTATTTGATGGCGTATAAGACGCACTTTTTTTCCTAAATTTGGTCTCAGAAAAGTTACCTGCGTCTTATACGTGAAGGACACAGTCTTATTCGTGAAGGTAATTGCATTCAATAATTGTTTATTTGGCTTTTACGAAACGTGAGAACTAAAAGAAATCACGCTATTGAAACTTTTTTCCCTTGTGTGTGGGCGTCTAAATAAGGGTGCGTCTTATATGCCGTCAAATATGGTAAATCAATTTCCTCGTCGTTATAAATATCACGAATATGCATAAAATAGTTTTCTGGTTGCAATTTTCTAATTTCGACTATGCGTAAGTAGGCTTTACGCATGCAAGATTGAAAGAAATTTAATAGAGGAAAACAATAAATATAAGCTTTTTTTTTTTTTTTGTTTTTTTTTTTTTTAATTTGTAAATTTAGATCCCATTGCTCTTTTTCTTAAATTATGATTTCATATTTAATTGTATAATTTCTGCATGCCATCTTACCAGATTTAAACTGATTATCTATAATTCGGAAAAATCGACAATCCGGAATCGCCGAAGTCCCGATGAGTCCGGATTAAAGACTTTTGACTGTATCTCAAGAAGGTGGTTTGATGATTCTCCTGTACAACTGAACACATATTTTCAATGTTTTTCTCAATTTTGGTGGTTATTGGTCTCCTGGGATATTTGTTACTTTCAACTTTTCCTCAACCATTTTGGAAATATTAAAGCCACTTATAAACTTCTTTGTGGGTCATACATTTTCTGCACACACAAGTTTCTTTGCAAGTAGTATCAAGCTTTTGGCAAAATTTTATGTAAATTCTCTGCTTATCTTTTTCTTTTCTCCCACAGTGAATGCAATGAAGGATGCTTCACATTATTCAAAGCACTCTTGTAAACAAACAGAATGAACTTAAAGTGCACACATGGCATAATCCAATGTCAGTCTGTGTTCAGCAGCATTCCTCTGCAAGTTTCATTTAGAGGCACTGCTCTTACTTTTTTTTTTAACCTTACTTTGTATTTTTTCACTTAATTTTTCATTTACATGATCATGTAAAACTTAATGTACTTGGCTTATTTAATTGTCAAAAGAGGTTTCAATTTCATTAAATGCAACAAGATCTAAAATGATCATCTACAACACAGCATCAACTTTACTGGCTTTACTGTAGTTCTTTGTTAACATTTACAAAATTCATCATTCAAACTCCTAAGATGGAATTCTATATACAACTATAAATTGTTGCTCTGGCTGCTGCTTCATCACCAGAAATTAAATTCATTCAATTAATACACTGTTATTGTATCAAACCTGATGGATGAAATGTTTTCATTTTTGAACTTATTTCCAAGTTAAGAAAATTATTATTAAGAAAATTTAACCCTTAAACAGAACTTTATGAAATCTCACAAGTGAGATTTATTTGTCTAAATTTTACATGAAATCATGCTTTTGCACTTTCCCTCCTCTCTCATCTGGAATGTAATATATAACTGTATATATATATGATTTTCAAAGAAATATCATTTTAATAAACTGTCCTGTAAAAGCAGAGCTAACCTCTTTTACACACAGGCAATTTAATTTAATTAATTAGTTAATAGTTATTAAGTTATAATTAGTGTAAAAAAGGAACCAAGATTTGGGCTGCTAAGCATATTCTTAATTTCAGAGAAAATGATTCATCACCTTTTACGACGAATAATTTCAGAACACTACTACAGGTACTGTCATCAAATGCTCAAAATTTGTACAGGATATTTATAGCACCACTGTAAAAAGTTATTACACTGACTTTCTCCTATGTGGTAAATGATGATACACCTCATAGAATTGTTGAACAATCTACAAATGCCAGATATGGTATGCCCTCTAAATTCCACCAAATAAAGTTTTCAAACATTTCTTTGAAATAAAAGCTGTAATTCATCCTGCAACATTACAGATTTATTCCACTCATCTTACATACAATGCTCCTACTCCTTTTCTACATCAAATTTTCAAATAGCATAGCTACTAACCTTGAAACATGAAAAACTGGGTTTGGTTTGGTTTACTTAATTATGACAAAGCACACTAGGGCTATCTGCCTAAGGAGAGGGATGCCTTTGTGGAGGACTTTCTAAGGGAAACTGCCTCGTATACACGTAACACATGAGGAAACCACGAAAACACCCATGCAGCCAGCCCGTTTGCGAGATTCAAACCTCGGACCGAACTACCAGTGTTTAGCGACTTTACCACTCGGCCGCTGGTGGACTGAAAAACTGGGAGTTCACCCAATATAATCAGGAACGTTTTTGCGCTGCATGGCAGCATCTTTTTATGAGAACTCAAAATCGATTTAAATTCACTGTATAATACAATTCAGTTTATTCTACTATTTATAATATGATTCTGATGTAAAATATATTAATACTTAATTACATACTCTAAATTTTATAGTCTTCAGTTAATTTTATTTCATAATTTTCTAAAGCTTTTATATTGAGAAAATTCTGAGTGAGGAAGGAAAGCTTTAATTTATCAAAGTACTTTTAAATATGAAAGCAATAAAATTTTTAGAAGTGCATATATTTCACGTTTCTTGTTTTGCATTGGAATGACTCTACATATTCATATAAAACAAAATTAAATACAAACAGATATTTAATGATTAAACATTTGGTTGAAACTTCATATTAATTTTTTCAAATATCAATGATATGATTAAGAAATTCAGATCAGATACAATTTAATAAGAAAAAATATGCTGAATACCACTAGGAAAAAGGGAATAAAATTTGAACAATTTAAGCTTCATTAATTCAGTAATGAAACTTAACTTGAGCAAATTTTATTTGCACAACTGAATTTTATTTCTGAAAACCACTTTCACTTGTAAAGATTAATTTTTTTTTTTTTTTTTTTTTTTTTTTTTTTTAATTAACAGATTCTGTGAGCTGCTTGGGATACAAGGGGATGTGTAAAAAATGGGGAGATTTGACAGCTATGAAATATATTCTTCCTCTTTCATAAACAATTTGGACTTATTATGAAATTATTCTCTAAAACAAACTAACTTGCACTTGTAATATTTTTCAATTAGATTGGGAGTAAAATTATAAAATTTAATCCATTTGTTCAGTTTTGGTAAAGCTAATTTATTGAATATGGTTTCATAATGAGCAAGAACTATTTCATAGTCATATCTTATGAAACTTTTGTCCTATAGTCACATACAGAGATTAACCATAGCTTGGTAGTCAAAGAATATAATCAACCAGTTAAAACAATTTTCATCTTTAAAGAATATAAAGTTTGAAAATGAAATTTTTACATGTGTGCTTCAAAAAAAAAAAAAAAAAAAAAACTGAAATTTTTCAGATTTTAAATTACGTCCAAAGAGGCGTTTTTTTAACGTTTTGAGTGTTACCTTTATTTATTAAATATCATGTTCTTTGCACTTAAACCATAAAATTCAGTTCAAGAGCAATATCGCAAAATAATGTTAAATTAAGCATATCTTTAGAATTTCCGATATACACAGTCTCGCGAGCTGGAGATAAAAGTATTTTTTTTCTATATAACGTTGCCATTTCTCGCTTTTAAAGCATTGAGTTTGTAAATCAAAAATTCGTTAAAGTTTTACAAAATATAAAATCTATAATAAAACAAATTCAAAATTTGGGATTTCAGATGCCCATATTCGCAGTAGGATTTCGTCATTCAAAATTCGATGGCTCTATGTACCATTGTTTTTATCACAATGCGAGAAATAGACAATCATTTATGCAGATTTTCATTATTTAATTTCTTCAAATATAATGCAGGACTCTAACATTTTGTGGCAACAGTTTGAAAAGTGAACCGACGTTTATGAGTCCGACGCAAAATGCCAAAACGAAAGCAATAGTCCTTCGGGACTGAAATCCCTTTGGACTAAAAAAAAAAAAAAAAAAAAACGGCGCTAATATAATTTTATGAAATTACAGTGTTTAGAAACTGTTAATTAATATCTCATATCAGGATGCACAAAATTATTTCCTCTGCAACAGATATCATTTTTTAATTTGTCAGTTCTAATTAAGTGGATTAGTTTAGCTAGTTCTGCTATCAAAAGCTCATGTTAGCAGAATTCTACCAATAATGTCGATGAAATAGCTGCATACATTCTTGTTTTTTAGATTTAATAAAATAGCCACAACCATATCGTTATGGTTGCCATTTTTATCTCTAGATTTTGGTTAAAATTTATACTTCACGACATGTGCCGCCAACTAACCGAAAAGTATTGTAAAAGCAGATGATAAATACAAACAAAACAAGAGAGAAAAGATTATTCTTTTGCTTCAAAGAAATAAATTATATAAGCATACTTAAAAAAAAGAGAGAAAAAACTTACATTATAGTACGATAAACTTTGTCCATTGGCGGAAATTTATGCTTTTGTCTTGCAGGATCTTGAATAAATAAATTTATCTCCTTTTCAATCTGCATATAGATATTTAAAAAAAAATACAGTATTAAGAAAGTATGAAATTTTCATTAAAAAAAACATCGCTATTAGGAAAAAAAATAATTACACGGGATGCTGTATAATCCAAATAAATTATACTTTTTAAATGAAAGCTCTCAGGCTAGTTAATGCACGATACTACACTAATATCCTTGAATTAAAAGACCAATTATGTCTTCATATGAAATGTTTTGTTGAGGATGGTGTAAAAAATAAAGTCATATGATATCAAGACAATCTTATCAGAAATATATTTGCAGAAAGAAGCACCATTTTCACTTTTAAAAGAAAAAATGTACAGAAATAAATACTTAATCATGGATGGAGAAGCAACAAGAAATTAAATGAGGATAAAATCTAATTTAATATAGCATACATCCAATCCTAATTGCCATGTATGATTGAAATCATTTTTTTTTCAAAATGCAAGGGAAAACATACAACAGTAACACTCAGTTTATATCCTTCTTAAAAAGAAAGGGTGGCATACTGACAATCACTCAGGGTTACATCAAATGAAAGCACTGATGTTTTGTGTGGGTTATTAAGTCTAGCTTATTCATAACTGATGCTAAATCACACTGCTTGACAACAGTTTCACAATTGATAAGATTATATGTAAACAACATTAACAACTGTTAATTCAACTGCGATCATAAATTGTTAATTATTATAACCATTAGTCCTTATTTCATCATTACACTACTCTTGTAAATATTTTAGTTTTACTAGAATTACATCAAATTTGACAAGAAACTTCATATTAATTCATTGGTTCATTAAAACATTGCTCTACATTTTCACTATTCGCAACAAGACAACTGTATAAAAAAAGGGGAATTACATTATAAGTATGCCACAAAAACAAAATAATTTTGTTTCAACTTTTCGACTTCATTCCATTATTACCAGGAGAGGGTGACTTCATTTCATTATTACCACCATCAATTTAAGAATCTTCTGGATGATTTTGTATGCAATAATTTTAGACCCCAATACAGATTTGAATCCATTAGTATTAAAAAGAAAAATGGTTAGACATTTACATTAAAAATGTTAAGTCCACATATTTTCCTTAATAAGTATGTTTTGGTTAAAAAGTAAATGTTATTTTATCAGATGCATTAATAACACAGGTTAGGTCATAATCATTAATATTCTATATTCAGATCTTCACACATCTTTGTTGAAATATGCAGCTGAGAAGCTCCAAATGGTTAGGCAACCACACTTACGATAATATTATAAAGGGGGCATTTATTTCCAAATAACTTTTCAGATTTGCAATTTTTGAAATTATGTCTGTTGAACTAAAAAGTTCTGATTATTGGGTACCTGGGCTGACGGTCCAACCCTGGTGTAGAAGATGAATCATTGTCAAATTTTACAACAGTGAATATATGTCACCTATGTTGCCATTTATGATCATGTAGTTGTTTTTTTTTTTTTTTTTTTTCTTTATTACTACAAAATTATTGTAAGAGATTAAAGACATAGGAATAAAATGCACTATTAAGAGGAATGCATATAAGTGATATTTCTATTTAGAAAGTATAATGCTGACATATGAATGCATAATAAATTGACATAAATATGAACATAAGACATACGATACTGAAATGAATTAATTAAGGTATAAAAATGATATTTGACATAGGAGTATCATGCATTTAACGAAAAGGTTTACATTGTTAGCTGAAATTATGGTAAAATATGTAAATATGTAGTTTAACTGAAGTCACCAAAGCTTAACTGAAGTGCTAATCATTGCTTATTACTGATGACACTATTTTTTAATATATACACATCAATAGGCACATAACACACCTGCTTGAGTACACATAAATTTACATGCTTTATATTTTTTACTCATTTTTCTTTATATTACCAATCAACAGTAAAACTGTAAGAAGCTTCATAGTGTTTCCCCCCTTAAACTTTCATAAAATTTCTTGCTTCTTATAACATGCTCCTTCTTATTATTTATGAGAACAAAAACATTTATGAGCTGTTGAGATAATCAAACAAATTTTTTTAATACAAAGTTACCAATTAAGGTGGTAATTTTCATGAGGGAGCAGATAATCAGAAAGTACATTTCCTTTATCAACTGACAAACAGATTACCAAACTAATTCAGCTGCACACACAGTTTATTAACTGCATAATAAGCTCTGCTAATATGTTTATCTGGGATTTGTATGTTAGCATGATTTATAATTTCTGAAATAAATTAATTATCATGCTTGGCAAAAAAATGCCAAAATTATTAATTTACTTCTTTAAATATATTAAAAAATATACAGTCAAAAGTCTTTAATCTGGACTCATCGGGACTTCGGTGATTCCGGATTATCGATTTTTCCGGATTATAGATCATCAGTTTAAATCTGGTAAGATGGCATGCAGAAATTATAAAATTAAAAATATGAAACCGTAATTTATAAAATAATGAGCAATTATGATCTAAATTACAAAAAAAAAAGCTTAATATTTATTTGTTTACTTTATTAAACATTTCTTTCAACACGCGCATGCGTAAAGCATACATTACGCATAGCCGAAATTAGAAAATTGCAACCAGAAAACTATTTGATTTGTATTCGTGATAATTTATAATGACAAGGAATTTGATTTAAATTATATCAAAGACGGAGTACATCGAGATGAAATACTACATTTAGTAAGGAATTATAAGCCAAATAAAATAAAAACATCTACCCTGAAGATAACGATAGTGCTGACAGATCAACTTCCAGTTCATTGCGCGCCACGACGTTCCCCTTCTCCCCCCCGCACAGTGCAGCGTGAAATTGATAAACAGATTTCGGAACGGTTAGATAAACAAAGGATATGCCTTTATCAATTTTTTGCAGCAATTCCGCTTTTTGTTTGATGGACATCGAAACACTTTCGTTTTGTAGATCCTTTGGGAGCTCCAGCATCGGAAATTCTATTTGACATAATCGAAAGTTCAAGCTTACTTTTATAAAATTGCTCTTACAGTCTGCAAAAAATAATAAGCCGGATCCAATTCGAAGATAAGGAACAACGCAATCATCAACATTAACTGAAATAGATAATTAGATAATTTTAGCTTATACCGTCCATTATACATTAAAAGCACACGCGAAAACGTATTCTGCGCTTGCGCACACGCACATGCGCAGTCATAAAGGTATTATGCACACGTGTAAACACCTATGCGCATGAGCAGGAAGTTTTTAGCTTTGAGGTGCGGATTATAGATCATTCCGGATTATGGATGTCCGAATTAATGACTTTTGACTGGATTTGATTTAAACTGAATATTATAACAACTACTAAGGTAAAATCGACATTCTTTTCCAATTTCTGTTCTATATTTGAAGATTTTTTTAGTTTTCTACAAATGCAAATGAAAAATTACCAGATACAGTGAATTTTACATTAGTGGCATTTAAAATTTCGAAATTAGATGAAGTCAGATTACCTTTTCCCGAAAATGCTTCAACTTTGCTTTTTGAGCAGCTTGTTGCTTTTCTATCATTTTCTTTTGTTCTGTAAATTACAAGAGACACAGAAGTTAACATGAAGTAATTACACATTAAATAATTATGTCAAGCTAAACTTAACACTGCTTGATTACATATTAGTCATATAGCCAGCCATAAGTTATAAGATTTTTTTAAGGGAGAAGAGGAAAAAAATACTTACAGTACCTGCCACTTATTAAACTCACTGGTCAATAAAATCAGTCGCTTACTATATCTAAATTTCCAGGAATCAAAACAAATGTATACTAATCAATAAAAAACTTGTCATCTGTTAAACTCATCTTGGTGGTTTATAAAACTGAAATTGGTAAAAGATTAATTCTTCACTGCCAGAACAGCCTACTTGTAGCTATCAAAGCTGTTTGTGATTCATCAATTGACTTACACTGGTGTGCAAAAATTAAGGACGAAGTCAAAAAATTAGCATATCAGCTGAACGAAGAGGCAGAGTGGACAGAAAGACCAATTATGAGATTAAGTAAGGTGATGTACGGTAGCACATGCGCAGATATGCAGGTAGACGTAATGTGGGAGTGTCTGAGTAGTATAAAGCATGTTGTCGGTGTAAGATCAGTATTTCTGGCAAAGAGATTGCACACTGTATAGCAGTTAAAATCACACCGAGTTGCTGCCTCGGCGAGAAATGGCGAATAATCAATCTGTTAGATGACATCTGGATGCTTTTACCCAAAGTCGAATCATTGGGAAGTTGGAGGAAGGCCGCAGTGTGACAAGCGGGGCTGCAGAGTTCGGAGTTGCTCACAGCATCGTTTCACGACTTTGGAGACAATTTCAAACTACAGGAACAGCTATCCGGGGGTTTAGTAGTGGTCGTCCACGAGAACCACACCCGCAGATGACCGGTATATTGCCTTACAGGCCAGAAGGAACAGGCAGCAGACAGCGGGAGAAATCGCTAGACACATGACACAGGTGACTGGACGACCGATATAGCGTTTTACCGTGGCCAGAAGACTGCACGGTGGTGGTCTGTTTGCACGACGCCCTGTACCGTGTGTACCTCTAATGCCTGCCCATTGGAGAAGGCGTTCTCTGTGGTGCCGGGAACACCGGAATTGGAGAGACAATGAATGGGGACGAGTACTCTTTACAGATGAGAGCAGATTCAGTCTGAGAAGCGATTCTCATCGCATACTCATCTGGAGAGAGCGAGGTAGCCGCAATCATCCCTCCAACATCATTGAAAGGGACAGGTATGGAGGTGGCGGTGTTCTCGTTTGGGGAGGAATCATGCTTGGTAGTCGTACAGACCTTCACATCTTCGATGCAGGTTCAGTCAACGGGACCCGTTATTGTAACGAGATTCTTCTTCCATATGTGCGCCTTTTTAGAGGCGCTATGGGTCCGCAGTTCCTTTTCATGGACGACAATGCACCATGTCATCGCACAGTAGCTGCCGAACAGCTCTTAGAGAGCGAGGATATTGAATGTATGGATTGGCCGGCACGATCTCCGGATCTCAATCCCATCGAGCATGTATGGGATTTTCTAGGCAGACGCTTGGCAGCTCGTATCTTACCACCAGTAACGATTCTGGAGCTTCGATTGGCGCTGCAAGACGAATGGGCAGCAATGCCTCAACAACTCATTGACACCCTAATTCTCAGCATGGGCAGACGCTGTGAAACCTGCCTAGCAGTCAGGGGAGATCATATCCCCTATTAAAGACCGGATGTTTCTTGCTGGACACTCATCACAGGGATGTTTCGGCCTTCAGTCGCATTGCGCTCCATGCTACTTTTTCAATAAAGCTTCTTTTTATCCCTCTGATTTATCTTTTAGTAAGCGTTGCTTACATTACTCATGTCCTTACGTATTGGGGATCTTACGGTATTAAATGTGTTGATTTGGAAAGCTTTTGTACAAAGTTATATTGAAAAAACCATCTCGTCCTTAATTTTTGCACACCAGTGTATTGCAGACCATGGCATAATCTGATATTGTCTACCTTCCTAAGGTCTTTTACCTCTGCGATGTTGTGTTAGAGCTCTTTGTCCATACTAGAACTCAGAAGGAGCAGAATTTTCTTAAGGTTAACATTTAAAAAAAAAAAAAAAAGCATCCTCTGAAGGCATTGGAAGTGAGTGAGTGTTTCTCATGAATACCAGTAAATAGGATGTGTAAGTGCATACTATCTTTCAATGTTTCCAGGTCAAAAATTTTTCCTTTTGGATACACATTATTCTTAAGAAGAGTTAAAAAACAGTTCACTAAATGGTTCCTAATATTACTGTACATAAACAGTCTTTAAATGGAACGGCATTAGTAACTGTAGTCTTTAAGGAAAAGCAAAGAAAGCATTGGTAATACCCATAATCATGACTTTCTGCTGGCTAGAGACACAAGTTTTGAAACTGAATAAATCATTGGAAGAAGTATTTTTTAATATTTGTTGTCGACTTAACATTTTGAAAATGTTTAAGCAAAAAGATTTAAGCCTGAAAAAGAAAAGAATAAATTATTAAAAGATCTTGACATTGTTAAAGTGCAGTCAGAAAAAAACTGCATTTAAGCTGGGAACTTCCCAAAGAGCATTGTGCACTTTACCTAAAGTAAGAATTATAATTGATGAAGAGCTACTAAAAAATGCAACGTACTACAGAAGTGGGGAAAAAAAAAAAAAAAAAAAAAAGATGGAAAATCTAGAGATAATGAAAATGCTTTCTCAACTGGTTTCAAGCTATGAACTAAAAAATGTTTCATACTACTCCGTTTCGGGGGACCATTGCCGATGGTTAAATTTTTTATTGCTAAATCAAACAGCAAACAAGAAATAAGGCAAAAATTGTTATAACACATTGCACAATATTCAAATCTCTAGTGTATGCATTCAAACATTACAGACAATATATATTGTTATATGGTAAATGACCGAGCTAGTGCGCATAATACATAAGGTAAGAAACAATTATGCATTGTGTAATAAATGTATTATAATCCAGTAATTAGTCCAATGGATGGAAAACTAACTTTTAAAGGAACAGGGTTTTTAGTTAAGAGAGACTATTAAACATTTATTTAGTATATTAAAAACAAAAAATAATTGATTTTACAGAATGTGGTTCAGGTGGCAATATGTGTGAATCCAACAAAACTCTTAAGTAGTATTAGCACATAAATATTATTTGAGAAGATATATGCTGCAAGATAACAACACTACAATTAATATCTTATAGAAAATCAGATAGACCAGTTGACACCAAGAACACATAATAAGGTATAATTATGACACTCATATTTTCAACACAAAATCCATTACAAGAATTAGGCATACAAACAATTTTTTAAACTGGAATTTAATGGAATAAATTTAATAAGTGCAATTTTCTTAACCATTATTTTACATGCAAGTCACTACAAAACAGAACTGCATGAATAGGCTATTTTTCAACTGTGAATTTTCATTATACCGATATAATTTGTCCTATTAAAGGCAAAAGTAATATTTTAATAGATTACACCAGGTGAGGATTACGAAATTACTTCTAGCGGTGATATTCAATTTTACCAGATGAAGTGACACTCTTGCAAGTTGAGGAGAAAACTGTTTATCGGAACTGTTGGATAACACAAAAGAATCCAAACTACTCTTTTTTAAATTCCGTTTTTTACTATTAACAACAGAACTAAAATATTTTCAAAATGAACTCATTCCAAGATATATTAACAATGTTGCCATTAAAGAGCAACTTAAGATATAAATAGGAGTGCTTTTAATCACATTAATAATGCAACAGGAACTGTCAATATGGAACACGGTGGAAGCTATGGAATCAAGAATCTCAAGAAATCTAAAATGTAAAGAGAAGGAAAAACTATTAAGTATACAAGACTAATTTGAGGTGACAGTCTCCCATCATCTGCTCTCCTAGGACCGTTAGTTGGGCTCAAATGCTGCCACGACTTTCCTTCATCTTCCTCAAAAAATGACTGGCACAAAAAATGACTTGTTCTGATGAGGTCTAGACCAGTGATTCTCAACCGCCGGTCTGCAAGAAATATTTGCCGGCTATTTTTGTCTTCATGAGTTATTTATGTGCAAAAATTGTGCCAATGGGTCAAATTATTAAACTTACTGGTCCGCGAGAACGTACTGAAATATTTTACGGTCTTTGAAGTAAATCTATTTGAGAAACACTGGTCTAGACTTCGAATGCCATGCCGGTACTCTTCTTCTTTCGGCAACAATTTCTTTCTCAGCAATGGAAAATACTCCCCATTCTCATCCAGCAATCCCAAGAGGGCCACTAACTACATTAGTATTGCCTCTTAGAGGAAGCTTTGACACAGATCTACCAGAAGTTAGAAAAATAACTCCTTCTTCCTCCTTCGCACTCCAAGGACACAAGACTAGGTCAGTAACACAATCAACTCCTCACTCACGTACGTCTCCATGATTTTCAAAAACAACATTCCAATTATTAGCCCTGTCACAAGTCCCAGTTTAACAGGGACACATGCTGAAAACCCCAATTTTTGCCCCCATCAGAGAAAGCATTACAGTATACAATTATTAGCCTCTCTGCAGGATCCCATTTCTACCAGGCACATACGTTTTTCAAATTTATTCAAAATGTAAAGTCACCTTGAAAAGAAAAACTCCCCTTACCAGATATAGTGACAGATAAATTCAGGAATTCTGATGCTGCTTACAGCTTAGATAAGAAAATACTTTTGAACAATTCTATTCACTAAATTCTTTCTATTACATAAGTTTTACTAAGTTACAGTCGAAATTACCATCTGAATTGGAAAATAAAGATTCAATAATTTTACCGGGGGGGGGCATTAAACAGAAATAAATTACTAAAACAGTTAAGCTTAAACACCAAATTAGTGTAACAAAATATCAAAATTAAAAATTAATAAGCTTAAGGGTCATCCAAACAAACCACCAACATGTTCAAAGGAATAAAGCCAAGCACAAACTATTTTTAACCAGTAACAGGAGAGGTGAAAAAGTTGAACATAACAGGGGACGTGCGGTCTCAGAGACCGCGCATTATAATATAAATCGTCTAATTAAAATATCATCATGATATTTCACTTAGATGTTCTTTGAACATTTTACTCTGAAGAAAAGAAAATATGTTTTTACACATTAAAGTGAAATAAAATTTTTCCCAGAAAATTTCCCCCATAGCCTTAAATTTTTCGATGAAAATCATACGCTGCACTAAATTCTATAAAACTAAAAATAAGAATGCATCTATTTTGAATTAACTATTTTATCTATATTATTTAATATTTAAAGCAAATTTTAACCGGAGAAAATTTTATGTAGCACAATACAGAAAAATTTTGACAGTACCCTGAAATATCAGTATCTCACTGATTTTCTGATAGTAAACAATTTAGTTTTCGTCTTCTTTAGCACATTCATTGCATAACTTTTTGCTTGTGCATTCCAAACAAACAGGGTCTTGGCAAGATAAACATAAATATGCTGTCTTTCTTTTCTTGCTTGGGGGGCACAGACGACATGTTTTCCTTGATTTTAATTTTGCTTCTTTTGTGCACTGCTCCACCTTAGACTCCTTCTTTTGTGCAGCTTCACTCCTTAGCTCAGCTCTTTTCCTAAAATCCGCTTTATCGTCAGGCGCAATTCTCGATTTATTCTTGATTTTTCACTCTCGTGTGTAGTAGTGGTTGGACTAATTCTCTCGCTAATTCTTTCAAAAACACCATTCTGGTCATAACAGGGTTTTGGTTATAACCTTGGTGCAAAATGTATGCGTTTACTGTACTCATATCTACTAACCGGTAGAAAAGAGCCATAGGCCAACGCGTTGTTCTCCTACTACAGGAATGGACAGAACATTTTTCATCTAAAGCATCAACACCACCTTTGGTTCTGTTATAAAAAGCAATTATTTCAGGTTTCTGTGTTTCCGAGTCTGTTTCTATCGAATGATGCAATGATGACATCAAAACCACTGCTCGTCTTTTCTTTGGAACAAATGAAATCAAGGTTATGTCTTTAGTAAACCCATACAATGTTGAATTCTCTTTTCTTGACTTACATGGAAGAAAATCTTTCGGAATTTCTTTTTTATTTTTTTTAAAAGTTCCAACGTATGTCAGTCCATTTTTCATTCTGTGGTAAGTTCTATGGAAGAAAACCAATAGTCTGCTGTTACATTCTCGTTTGTATTAAAAATTGGTTTGTTCAAACGCAGAACAGCTTGGCTTGGTTTGCTGAATATTTTCCAACTCTCTTCTACGCTAATTCCATCAGAGTCTTTTCCACAATAAAGATATGCATTGTAAGCATAATTATTCCGGGCATCAGTCAAACACATAACTTTTAATCCATATTTCACGGGCTTTTGGGGATATATATTTTAAAGCGACACTTTCCTCTGAATCCAACAAGCATTTCATCAATGCAGACGCAAGTGCCTAATGTGTACGCTTTCTGGGAGTTATAAATGAATAAATTCATCACTTCAGAAATAAGTGCTGCCGGATCAGATTTCTTTCGTTCTTCCCTATCATCTGGGTTATCAAATCGCAAATTTGAAAGTAAAAATTTAAAACGTTTCATTGACATAACTGCACGAAAAATATCGCGGCCAGTTCCATCCGTGGCAAATAAACATTCAATATCTTCATGATTGGATTTGAAGACTGATGTGTAAATAAGTAAACCCAAAAAATCTCTCAGTTCATCAACACAGGTGTAGTCAATTTCACCTTTAATCGGACCACATATATTTTTTATTTTTCTTTCAATTTTTAGATTTGTCCATTTCACAATTATGCTTAAAAGTTCATCAGTAAAAAGTAGTTGCCATACATTTTTTTTATCTGAATTATCAATTTTTCCGTAAGGTCTTAGTCCAGGAAGTCTTACGATATTGTGAGCTGGCCTTCTAACTTTTTGATTTGGTTCAACGGATGACCATTTGAACCAATTTTTTCCATAGTAGTATTTTACGGAATTAGTTGTTTCTAGATCAAAGAAATCATTGCTGTCTGCAGAAAATTCAGAGTCTGTTGAGTGGGCACTTTCGCAGAAATTTTCTTCACAGTCATCTTCTTCACTAAAATCACTTCCAACTTCGTCTAGAACTTTTTTCAGTTCTCCTGCATAATGCGGATCAGAAGGATAAATGAATCTCCGTGGACCTAACTTCAGAACCATGTGTTCACTACTGCCAAAAATTGTAACACTGAGAGGGAGGTGAGATCTCACAGACCGCTCTAGAAGAATTTCAACAGATACATTTGCCAAAGCATTTCGATAAGAAGGAAGTCAGAAAGAAGGTCACGAAACGTGAAGCTAGGGGAAGAATCCATTCAATTGGACAAAGCATGAAATAGGGGTGATGGGAGGAACATGTGGCGCGATCCGTCAGACCGCACGTCCCACACAAACTTGCATTGTGCCCTCCCTTTACTTTATCCATGTACACATCGATATATTTTCACCTAAAAAGTCAAAGGAGCACCAAATTCTATAATATAGGCAAACAAAAAATACATAATCTCAGTAAAATACAGTTTAAACCAAACAATAAAATAACATAAAAAAGGAAAAACATGTTATACATTTAAGCACTACCAAAAGCAAATATTCATTTACTATGATTTTCAAGTTTACTTCGTACACCCAGAGCCACGTAAATATCAATCATACTCAAATGACTTTTTTCAAACCAGGTACTCTTTCTGATCGAACGCTTCACATAGTGACCATCTGAACCTTTCTTCCTACAAACCCATTCAAATCCATCTAAACAGTTTTTACGTTAGACTAGATGCATATGCTTCCTACATACAGGACACTTATAATGGCTACTAAGTAAACCTTCATTTACACACCAGTCAATTAAAGCTCTTTTCACCTTTCGCTCCAAAGCGTACAGAAACTTCAAATTAATCTTACTACATTCGGCCATTCTACCATCTAAAGAATCAAACCAACACACACCACAAAAACGCTTCGTCTATTTCAAAAACCTTGAAACTTCTGTCGATTTTCCCTGTGAGCTGAGATATTAAAGCTGCTGTGCAAACTTCCTGCCTATAACTGTTCCAGTCAATAGTTGTATTAGGTTCACCTTAAGTTTGTAATTCCCAAAATTCAATTGATATCATCTTCTAGCACCAAAAATATATGAACCTCACTATTGTAAGGAAAGGGATTTTGGAACCTTCAAATCAATTTTGCTTTCACAATCCATTTCTCTCATTGCAAAATCCTTTCCTGCAATGCCATTTGTTCAAAACTCAATTTCATTTCATGATCTTTCGAACAACAGTTTATTTTTAACGATGCTTCTTATTTGAAATAAATCAATTGCAGACTTTTCATTTTTCAACTATAGGCTTCCCCCCCCCCAAAAAAAAAAAACCATGGATAGGTGATTGTAAAAAATTAAAAAATACGAAACTGGGAATAAAATTAAAAAAGTGTTGAATAGAACATATTTTTATACAAAATTTAAAAAATAAATTTCTAAACTATGTAAATAGTTTAACTTTAGCATCAATTTTTAAATATTAATTTACAATTACATATTTAATTGTTAGTTATTATTTTATTACACAAACCAGAAAATTAGATTTCAAAACTGTTATCACAAATTGCAGTACACAAATCGACGTCTAAAAAAGTCAAAATATGCCTATTGCACTTAAGTCCGGCTCGTACTGTATACATGTACATTTAAATAACAGAGACGCATACAGATATTTTATAGCAGCAACGCTTTTGTAAAGCATACAAATAATTTTCAGTGACTCAAAAATTAACATATAAATATTATTAACGGAATAATAAAGTAACAGACAAACTAATTACATGTTTTAATTTAAATTAAAAAGAAAATCCACTTTGCTTACTTTGTAAAAGCTTATTCCTTTCACTCGACACTGATGGAGGTTTGTCCATCGAACTTAAAATTGACCCAAGTAAGTCACTCATGATGGTCACTAATAAATATTTCGACTAATAGATAACTTTACAATTCAAATATTATCACCTGGGAAAATACAACAGCATGTTCCTAAACAGACAGACAAAATAGACAGATGTCTTGTTTTGCACCCGCTAAGTCTTTCTGCACCGATGGGCGAAAAATCAAGCTTAGGTGAGAAGGAAAGGTATAAAGGAAAGGGAAAGGAAAGGGGGGGCAATTTCGGTTTCCAGAGAAGAGTAAAAAGAACTTCGTATTGTTTTACGAGTTCAAAAGGTCTGGAGAAAATAAATTTAAAAATAAATGGCCCGTAGTAGTTAAGAGGAGGAAACCAAAAAAAAAGAAAAAAAAATGTGGCTTCTGATTGTTTGTGCCATTGGGGGGGGGGAAACTGCTTGATTTATGATTAAAACTGAATAAACAAATTAACATATTTGGAATATAAGATACCTGCATAATTTTGTAATGAGCATATAAAGATTGTTAGTTTGTAACTTATAAGGTATATATTATCATAATTTTGACACACTGGGAAGCAGGCATGCAATAAAAAATCCTTACGGTAAATACGTTACACTTTTTCATTTGAGATCCCGTCCGCATTGAATGATAATTTAGTATACTGTTTTCTGAGTCGTTGAAGCTGTTTCAGCACTTTGTATTGCAGCAATCAAGAACCTGTAAGTAAGTCTTTAGGAAAAAGAAAAAAAAACTTCTTATTATAATGATATCAGCGAGTTGTACCTTCAATGAAGGGAAGGAGTAAGATTAATCAAAGAGCATCAGTAAATGCTGTAGCAATATCGAGATTTCCGAAAGTGGCAGAAGGTCCCCGCCCATCAACGGTAGCAGCACCTTCATGGGAGACAGAAAAACCTCTTAAAAGCTAATTAATGTTGACTAAAAGTATTTTAATACGTAAGGTAAGAGGGAGTGGAAATAAGTAAATAAACAAACGGTAAAGTAACGAGAAATACGTAAAAAAATAAATAAAAATAAACAAAAATAGGCCCGCTTCCTAGAAGGTGGCCACTCCCTCATCGGATTAAAAATGGTGTATGAGATGCCGATATTCCCTTATGAACTATTACAGGTCATCGGCACCTGCA